TCCCTTAGGGAGGGCTGTTTGCTTTCTGAAATTTTAGTTCATCTTGTCTTTGTTTCCATAGCTTGCGGATATCTTTAAACCTATATGGTTTACAATTTGTCTTCTCTTTTGGGGGATGGGGGTTTCAGTTGTGGCAGAAGCGTTCACATCCTATTTGGAAACGGAAGTCCAGATATCATTTATTAGGCGAGCCTTGACTCCTTCATCCAGCTCAGCTCTATCACAGGTGAGTAGTTTATGAGTGTTTGGGCCAATTCAGGAGGTCAGTGAAAGGGTACATGATGGACACATCCCTCAACCTCCCAGCCACAGATGATGGGGATTCCTTGGGGACTGATCTGCCTTAGTCACATTCAACTTGAAATTCAGCCCATTCCTAGGGATAGCAAATGACATTACCATTATCAGTTCTGTTGCTGCTTAGGAGAATGAGATGTCAGCTCTGGCCCTGACTAAGGCAAATTTGCTCCTGTAGGCACCTGAATTTGTGCCCTCTGGCATAGGACTTTAGAAGTTAGACCTGGGCTGACTTGTAGCTTTCCATCTTTACTTACCATGTGATCATGGGCAAGTTACTTAATTTCTCTAATCCTCAATTTTTCCACCTATAACTTCATAGGGTTATTTTATTATGAGGATTAAATATACTACAGGTTAAGCCCCACATGGTGGCTCATGCCTATAATTCTAGCGAATCAGGAGGTGGGAGGATTGCTTGAGGCCAGGAGTTTGAGACCGGCCTGGGTGACATAGTGAGACCCTGTTCCTATATAAAATTAAAAAAAAAAAAAACCAAACTCACATGGTAGCATGCATCTGTAGTCCCAGCTCCTCAGGAGGCTGAAGTGGGAGGATAGCTTGAACCCAGGAGTTCGAGGCTGCAGTGAGCTATGATTGCACCACTGCACTCTAGCCTGGGTGACAGAGTGAGACCCCGTCTCTAAAAATAAACAAATAAACTACAGGTTCAGCATTCCTAATCTGAAAATATGAAATCTGAAATACTATAAAATCCAAAGCTTTTTGAGTGCTAACATGATACTTTTGCTTTCTAATGGTCATTGTACATAAACTTTATTTCATACACAAAATTATTGAAAATATTGTATAAAATTACCTTCAGGCTATGTATATGAGGAATCTATGAAACATAAATTAATTTTGTGTTTGATTTGGGTCTCATCCCCAAGATACCTCATTATGTATGGGCAAGTATTCCAAAATCTGAAAAAAATCCAAAACACTCTGATCCCAAACATTTCAGACCTTTGTAGCCCCTGTTATCCCCCTGCTTGGTTGAAGCTTGATAATATTTACTGAATAAATGAGCTAAAAGTTGTTCCTCCCTCCATCCGTCCCTTCTTTCCTTTATTCAAGGACATTTACTGATTACCTATTATGTGACAGGCACTCTTCTGTGCCTTGGGGATACAGCAGAAAACAAAACAGATGAATTTCTTAATCTCATGACATTTAGATTTTAGTCTACATGTATATGGGGGTTGGGCTGGAGACAGAAAAACAAATAAACAAGAAAATATGAGCTAATGATAGGTTCCATAATGCAAAAGTGCAGTGTATGGTTGATGGGAAAGGGTTGATTAGGGGCATTTTCCAGGTTGGGCAGTAGGAAATCTGAGGGGGTGATATTAAAATAGAGATCAGAATGACAAGAAGTCATTTTTCGCCCTGGGGGAAAGGGATCCCAGGCAGTGGAAACAGCTAATAAAAAGTTCTTTAAAGTGAGTTGGCGCTAGGCATAAACTATCTAAAATACCCATTTAGGAAAACTAAGGTGTCTGGGGTTCGTTGCTTTGGAAATTACCATACCTGGAATAAACTGATGCTCTACTCTTATTTTTTCTTAGTATTGCAGTACTTAGAAGTTTCTCAACACCCTCCCTGTCCTCTCCTCACCCTCCAAGATGCTTTGAAAATAGGAATTGTGGATTAGCTAACACGAGGGTCACAGAGTTAAGGCTAGGTCAGTAATTTTTTTCCCATCAAAAGTGACCACGCCATAGAAAAAAAAATCAGGGGCCACATAAAATAATAAGTAACTACATTTGTCTTATAAGAGAGAAAAATATGAAATGTTCTACCTCTCTGCTTTTTACATTTAGATTGTATAATGTACGATTCAATAAATACAATATCGCTTTGATGAATATAATTTATTTCTAAATTTTTCCCAATTTAGGGAAAGATATAGAAGAAAAGATGATGGAAAAGGATAGGGGAAGATGGAGATACAGAAAGAGTGAAATAGAATGAAACACATAGGTGAATAGATGGACGTATATTGACCAAGAGGAGGAATAAAAGAGTCCTATAGGGAGACAGAGAAGCTGAGAAAAAACTGTGTGAAAGGGAAGCCAGAATGTAAATAGGTTTTGTGTGAATATGTTCCTGGCACCCTCTTGTGCCTTTGGGCTATGGATAGCATACAGTAGTAGGTTATTGCTTCCTTTGAAAAATGTGATGATGCTCTCTAACAATATCTACTTATTTTATATATTTTTTAGAGACAAGGTTCTCACTCTGTCACCCAGGCTGGAGTTCAATGGCACATCATACATAGTTCACTGCAGCCTCCAATTTCTGGGCTGACGGATTCCTCCTGCCTCAGCCTCCTGAGTAGCTGGGACTATAGGCACATACCACCATACCCAGCTAATTAAAAAAAAAAATTTGTAGCAATGGGGTCTCCCTATGTTGCTCAGGCTGACCTCAAACTCCTGGCCTCTAGCGATCCTCCTGCCTTGGCCTCCCAAAGTGATGAGATTACAGGTGTGAGCCACCATGCCCAGCCTCTAACAATATTTAACACACATATTTCTTCTGTGTTTCCCTTCTGTTACGCTGATGTATGCTCTATATTAATGCTAAATTCCTTTCATTTATTTCTTTACATATTTCCTTTCACCAGACTGCTTTCTTTCAAATCAAAAAACACAGATTGTTTGAGTTAATAAAACAAACTGCTATGCCTCTAGTACCCATTCTCCTATTTTTTAGACGGAAAGTTGCCTCCAACCAAAATCATGCATTCTAGTCATCATGGTTGTGATTCTTATCATCAGGGCAAACCCCATGTCTACTGGCAGGATTTTGGACAAAAAAAATTGTAGTTGTCTAACAGGACTTATGCTAAGTGGAGACAGTATATAACTGAGTGGATCAAACCAGGCTGTGTGAAGACTAGGAAAGCTCCATGTGCAAGTCTCAGACCATCTGGCTGATGATTTGCTGTACTCCTGTAAACATCCATGGAGTATAGTCAGTTGTACAGTCTGTGGCTTGTTGGGCCCCCCTCTAGTCCAAACTTCTGGAAATTGGACAATAATAGACTTGATAGAATCCTAAAAGAGTGAAATGGATGGCTGCATCCTAAGACATTCCACTAGGAAAAGCCTGACTGAAGCTGCAGAAAGAAAATTAGCCCAACATACAGAATTAATAGCCTGAAATTTTATGGGTAGATATGCCCAAGAAAACAATTGGCCAAAGGTATATAGCTATGCTGATCATCCACAGACTGGAGATATATGCTCTTATAAATGGAAAATTACAGACTAGACTGTTACAGGAAAAACAATCTGGTGAAGGGAGATATGAAAAGAAATCGATGAAAGGAATTTAGCAATTCATGTAGAACATGTATCCGCTTATCAGAACAAAAAACAGAATAATCTATTTGAATGAGAGAGGAGACAACCTGGCTCCAAAAAACTACTATAGACTCTGCAGCCTTGGAGACTCTAAGCTTCAACTAAGCTACTTTGTCAGTTCAATTTAAGGTTGCAGAATGGGCACGTGAAACCTCAGGGCATATGAACATGAGTGTACTAGGTAAGCAGAGGAGAAAGGGTGAAAAAAAAACTATGAATCAAACAAACAAGTGAGTAATCAATATGAGATATGTCAAATTACTAAAAACTTCTTACACCCTCAACAAACTCATTTTAAGGGGCTTGGGGAGTGGTAAACCAGACCAAATGTGGCCAGTAGATCATATTGGGCCATCCCTAGATTTTTAAACAAAGAACATTGCCTTAGAGAAGTGTATACTTAGTACTCAGGAAGATGATTTGCAGAGCCCACTAGACATGCAGATGAAAATAGTATGACTGTGGCTTTAGATACAGCTGGAGGAACTAACTGCTAGATATGGAAGATGGGCAGTAATAGGAAATATCAAGGAATTAGTTTTATAACTGAACTTGTCCGAAGTTTGGCAAAATACAGAGAATGGGGGACTTTTATTTACCATACATTCCCTAGGCTACAGGGCAAATGGAAGCTTTAATGAATGGATTATTAAAAACACAGAAAGAATTTAGCAGCGCCAGATATAAATGGCAATGAGGCAAAGGTGCTAATAAAGACAGAGTTAATTGAAAGACCCTAAGTGAATGCATCCTTCCTCAAAAGAGATGTTCAAGAAATATAGACAAACTACCTATGTTCACTTTGCTCTCAAATCTCTTAAAAAGTGACAAAGACCATGAGAAATTCAAAAGAAAGAGAAGTAGTAGATCCTCATAACGCTATCAAAAAAGGAACAGCAATAGCTAGAAGATACCCTTTCAACCTATGGGAAATTCTTGATAGGGGTATCTTGTAGCCAGAACCTGTAGGATGGATAAAGACTCAAGGATACTAATCTTTATGTTTCTCTTTTCTATTATTAGATCTGCTTTGCTGTTTTCTCTTGGCTGTGACAATCTGTCTGGCGGTTATTATAACAGCAGTTCACTACCAGTACAAACAAGAGTACCATATAAATTTTGTGGGAGGTTCACCAACATCATCAAAAAGTTCTGTAGTACCACTGGCCTCATTCTGTACTTGATCACCATCATAATCATATCAACGTCCTCACTTCTCATCTAAACCAACCACAAAACCATTGTCAGCCCCATAGGTTTCATTGTTACTAAGAGTCCATTTACTACACCTTTTAGTAATATTTTATCTATTGAGAAAAGCATTGAAGCATGGAGCCTGTATCAGTCCCTGTACTAGTTGGTGGGATTACTGATTGTGTAGCCCAGTTAGTAAAAATAGCTGAAGAGCTTTTACAATTTATGGCACAAGATCAAGTTCCTTGTACAGAACAGATTGGAGCAGATGCATCTCCTCCTGAGGAAGCTCCACTACCAGACCTTGCTAATCTCTCAGACTTAGAATCAATACTTATGCCAATGGATGATGAAGACCTAATGTTTGATATAGATGAAGTTATGTTAGACATAGGTGATATACGTGAAGATGTACTCGCTGGCATAATTGATGACTTAAGAAGTGACTAAGACCCAGTTTGCCCCCACCAGCATGTAAGAACTGATCATTTCTCTGTTTCAATATATTCTGATTTTTCTGCATGTTAGTAATATGTGTTTTCTCCTAGTTCTGCACATTTTCATTAGTCATAAATTTTAGAACAAGTTTGACTTGATTTACTTCCAGCAAAGACTGATCTCTTTTCTTCTTTGTTTTTATTCAAAAAGCTCTGACTTTATGCGTGTAGTTGCCCGTTTATCTGTACTTGTTCTCCTGCTAGGATTACTGATGATAAGAACAAACTCCTCATCTAACAATGGAGTAAAGAATTGATGAACTCTATCACATCTTGGGACCCAATTTCACTGTTCCACAATGAATAGAAATGAAAAGGGGAGTATCTCTCAGAATAGTATTATAGTGAATATGTTGAGATACTTTTACTTGAAAAGATACAACTCCTTACTGTTCCTTTAAGAGAGAATGTGTCAAACAAAAGATGCTATAGCAAACCAAGGGAAGTAATTCTAAAAGAGCAGCATCTACTGCAGAAAGGTTTTCAGATGACTGTTACCAGGGAGAAACCTTTGAAAAAGCTGAGGCCAAGAGGTTCCTATGCAGCACCGTTCTCACAAATGCTGACCCACATTGCAACTACTTTGCACTATTACTCCCTAAGTGGAAATGGCACACTATACCAAATAACAAAAGAGAAGTACTAGAAGGGCTAGACAAAGCCCTACAAGGACTGTTCACCAATAACACAGAAGCCTAGAGATAATGATCCACGGTGGAAGTAGATAAAGTATATCTTTGTAGGTATAAATGAATTTAAAAAGAATAATTGATAGGCTTATTACAGTGAACCTGCTGCAACTTCAACCTAGAAATATTTACTATTGACAGATAAGAGCACTAATGGATTTAAACAAAATGTGGAATAGTATTTAGTCACAATAATTCTACATATACTAGAAGAGGAAAATGCAATAGTTGAAGGACCCCTACATCAAAGCAGAGAGGGACCAAATGAGTAGAAAATTCACTGATTGCACCAACTCTATGTTGTACATTACTCTAATTTCTATTTGGAAGAAAAGCTACCCTTCAGACAAGCCCATTGATGCTATTGTCTTCCTTCCTTGAGAATGACCTTTGCATCTCATGACATGGGCAACAACTAGGTAAAGACAGAAAGGTATAACACTGGACAATGTGGTATATGCAAATTGTGAAGAAATGATATGCAGAAGGAAATCCACGCTGGTGGAAACCAGACTATGCCAATTCATATTGAAGCCTAAAGCATATTATACTGAAAAGGATTAAAATGACATTTAATACAGATGACTTCATAGCTAACCAACATGACAGATGCTGTATCTAATACTAAGTGATAGCTGCATACACAGATAATTAGCTACTGTTAAAGATAAGTGGAGGCAATTATAGGCTATATAATCAGGTCCTATTTGGATGAGTAGTAGCAGGAAAAACAAATCAGTTTGGCCATTGAGTTTTAGGATACAGTGATTTAACAAATTTAATAACAAGACTGTTGTATCAGAAGAATCTACCATAGACCCTTTTGAAAATCAGAACTTATGGAGCTATTCAACATGTTAATATTAGAAAGTTCCATAATAGGCTGCTATATGGAAGGATTGATAAGAGTAGATGAGGATCCATTTTGTGAGACTACTCCAATTTGTGAGACTACTCTAGACCTTGAAACAAGATAAAGACTTAAACCAGCCTATAAAACAAGTAGTAGACACAAAATAAGACAGAGACACAAAGACACAAATAGGAAAAATAAAGATGATATCATAGAGCAACTACTGTGGATAATTACAAGCCACATGGGACAGCAGATTGAGGAACTTTGAGACTACAATAACTAGACAAACTGAACCTTACTTTCCCCATGTAGGGGAATCTAGATATTCAGTTATGTTCAAAATGGCAAAAAATTGATGCAGTCCATGGGACTATGCTGCATTAACCTAAATAGAGTAGTGGGAAAGCAAGAAGAAACAAGTTTATCCCTCCATTCAAATAGGAACAGTTTTACAAGGAAGATTAGTGATAGCAGATAAACAAGGAAACCTATACATTTAGTAAATATGAATAACAACAGAGAAACTGAATAAAAGTTAAAAGATATGATCTATGTTTTAATTAAAGGATTAGAAACAGCTAGGGAAGATACACACTCTTCACAGAGAATTTGAACTTCAGGAAATTGGGCTATAATTCTGTGTTAAGATAAAACTCAATGCATAAATACCTGAACAAGATCAGGATACATATTCAAGGAGAGACCACCAGTCTGTTACACATTCTATTTGGTGAGCAGTTTACGTGTAACAGACCTGGTGCTCCTGATAGATACTGAACGTGATAGATACTGAAGGGTAGCTATTCTTCCAAGTTGAACTCTGGAATATGGACTTTATAACAATACCAGAACAGATTTTAGTGTGAGCTTGTTAAAACTGTTAGTGTCTTGTGGGAGAACACAAGCAACCATACTAACTCCAGCAGGTCATCAAAATATATCAGGAGAAATTTGTGAGACTACTCTAGACCTTGAAACAAGATAAAGATTTAAACCAGCTTATAAAACAAGTAATAGTCAATACAATCCTTAGGCGTCAAAACAGGAACGTGCTACAACCTTATAATATTTGGAGCTTGCCGGCCTCTTGTTGACTTGAGTCACCTGGAAAGATTATACTATAATGGCACCTCAGGACTAGATAAGTTCTATTTCAATGTTTACTTTGATTGTGTGATTGTATGTATTTAAGGATTAAGATGTAACCCTATTGCAAGAAATGGATTGTTGTATTAAGTATTTTTGCTCTATGGAACAGAATTGTAAATAGTTAATAGTGGTAAGATATACATTTAGGAAATAAGAAAATACTTAGGAATAAGAGCTAGTAGGGGAGGTGTTTTCAGGAGAGAGAAGAAAATTAATTGTCAACAATTAAATGTAGCTGTTTATGGTGGAAAGCCATGGTATGAAGTTAGTTTTTAAACAGGTTTATGAACTAAGCCCCATTTTTGTTATATGCAAATTAGCCAATCCTAAGATGTTGATAGAAACAGCTGTTTGGCAATTGATATGTCATGTATCTAAAAGCTTGATTAGATGGAGAAATATTAACTAATTTAACCTGCTGATTGAAATCCTGAATCTCCTCCAGGAGAACAGAGAAGAGACAGTGGCTGGTCCTTTATTCAAACTAGCTCTTTTCTGGATCTTCTTGAGACCAATGTCAAAGCCATTTCTTATATGGCATGGAGGAATAGAGAGAGAGAGGTTCATCATTCTGAAAGGAGCTTAAAGATGTGAAAACCAAGGAAGATAGTCTGGTAGATGGCAGTGGATTAAGCAACACAAGTCTTCATCCCTATGTACTTTGACTAAAGTGTGTGGGCAATTGTGACTACATACTTGCATCTTTATGTATACTAGTTATTGCCAGTTATGATAATTGTTTATGATCCTTATTAGCTATTGGTCTAAATAAATTTATTGTTTTAAGAGATTTTAATAAATAAACTTTCATTCACAAACCAAAGTGGTCATCGTAAATTACCTGGTAGTGAATTTGAAGGCTACCAAACCAGCATAAAAGAATCCCATTCAACAGAAGGTAGCAGAGAGAGGATATTGTACCAGGAGTCTGAAGTTCTACTTCTGGCTTTGTCAGATGATCTTGAACAAATCTCTGAACAATCCTATCTCATTTGTAAAATGAGGGTTATAATAATTTTTCTGCTTACCTTCAGTGGTAACAAGGAACAAATTAAATACTACAGTTTTCAAAGCCTTTGGTATGATGTATCTGACATTGGGACAGAATATAAGAAATCAGGACTTTTTAGGAATATCTGAAAAATGTCTGTATGACAATACCTGGAATCTATTTGACATGTAAAGATTATCCAATAGTTTTGTACCTTTTTTTAAAAGAGATTAGAGATTCCTTATTCTACTTTATGTCCAAAGAGTTTGGAATCAGCTTTTGTTTAATTCTTTGGAGCTTTTTTTTTTTTTTTACCAAATTAAATTCTTCTGGGGAGTCTACTTGAGTTCTAGTAGGAATAATAATGAGGAAAAAACAATAGGAAAAAGCCCTTCAGGAAATAATGAATTATATCCCATTTAAGGCTAAGAGTTTGTTCCTGAGGGGGTTATGTATCTCTGAACATCATTAACCCATCATGATCCAATTTTTACAATTTTTTTTTTTTGAGACAGAGTCTCACTCTTTTGCCTGGGCTAGAGTGAGTGCCATGGCGTCGGCCTAGCTCACAGCAACCTCAAACTCCTGGGCTCAAGCGATCCTCCTGCCTCAGCCTCCCGAGTAGCTGGGACTACAGGCATGCGCCACCATGCCCG